ACTCAACATGGACCAAGGGAAGTAAAGAAATTAGTTCTCTCAGGAGATTAGACAGAAATTTATGGAAAAGCATGTTAAAGGTAAAGGCTATAAGACCATCTGTAAGCATCTTGATGATCCATTGACTACAGCTGCACATAGTACTCAGAAACTGTGTGCCTTTCCTAATCAGTGACTACTCTGTTCACCTACTCAGTGCACACTAGACCTGCTATGAAGCACCCTCGCAGCTGAACTGAGTCCCTTTTATGGCGCTACAGGGTATAAACACACAATTTTGTTTTGAGATGGCCTTATTGCACTGCCAGAAGAGGAAACTGTCATCACCATGGTAGCAATCCACGCTCTTGCAGAGATTAATGCTATTATACACTGGCTGCTGAAAAACGAAAGCCTAAGATCCTCATGATGGTCATGCTCTACCTGGAGTTTGATCAATGCTGTGTTTTTTCAGTAAACCTAGAAAATATTTTAGTTTTTAGTCATAACTTTATGTGTAACAAACCGTGCGATGTATTCTCAAAACAATTGCACCTGTAACAAAATCACTTATATAGCCTATGTGAAAGGATATTTGTTTATAAAGTGTTTCTTTACTGAGTGAACCTGTGCAATGCATATGCAGAACTTGTATTTATATATCCCGTTCTCCACGCAGACCACAATTTGGTGCTGCTTGAGTGGGCAACAGGTCCTCACTTGCAATGGGGGGCCTTATAAGCCACTTGTCATCGTACGTGACTGGTTTTAGGTAGGAATTAACATGACCGACCCTCCGGGGATATATGCAACAGATGTGGGTAGAAAGAGGGAGTAGCCACTGATTGGGAACGGTCCTTAAGATCCATGGGGCTGTAGCCAACCTCCCTAGATGTGACTACAGGAGAAGCACTTTTTCCGAGTTGCAAGAAGGAGGCTGTGCTTTTTTGCATGGTCATGGGGGCAAGAGTGCACCATGGTTTTGTAGCTGTATTTAGAGCAGATGTTGAAAAACTTATTTGAATCATGAATTATTTTCCTTCCACCTCAGAATTATACTCCAACTTGAGTTCTATCACATAGGTAATCCAGGCTATTGTTCTACAATTTTCAGACATAACTGCCTCAACACACCTAAATAAAAATAATACGGTCTATTGTACAGTCCATGGTGGGGGTGTGAGGGTCCATTGATGATGTTACGGGCTCGGAACATGCAGTGCTGGGATGAAATGTCTTTTATGAGAAGAGGAGCCCCAATGATCCTCTCTGCTGTTCTTACCACTCTACTCACTTTCTTCCAGTCTGAGGCACTGCAGCCTCCACAACATACAGTGAGACAGTCACAAAGCTTCTGTAAGAATGTCCTATGGACAGATGAGACAGAACTAATATATTTTTTGTTTGATTTTTTTATTTTTTTGCCAAGCCACGTCAGCTCTATGTTCACAGATGGAAATATGAAACACATTAAGAAAAGAACACTGTCCCTACTATAAAATCTGGAAGCAGCTGTGTTATGATCTGGGGCTGCTTTGCTTCATCTGGCAGAGGGTTTATTCATTATATACAGGATGCGATGAAATTCCAAGACTATCAAGGGATTCTAGAGAGAAATGTGCTCAGTGTCAGAGGGCTTGGTGCCAGTAGCAGGTCATGGGTCCTTAACAGGGATAATGACCCAAAATATACAGCTAAAAACACAGACGAATGGCTACGAGTAAAACATTGGACTATTCAGAAGTTACCCTCTATGAGCCCTGCCCTAAATCGTATTAAACATCTTTGTAAAGAGCCAAAACATGATCTCTAGAAAAGGCACCATTCAAACCTGAGACAACTGGAGCAGTGTGTTCATGAGGAGTGGGCCAAAATACCTGCTGAGAGGAGCAGAAATCTGATTGACAGTTACAAGAATCTTTTGATCACACTGATTGTCTCAAAAGGTTGTGAAACAAAATCCTAAGGTTTCATTGGTTTGTTTTTTAAATCATTGTGTTGAAACAATGTACAACTTTTTTTTTTATTTTCATAGAATTTTTATTTATTATCGCTTTTATCAGATTTAAGTAAGGCAATGTGATATGGCTCAAAAATCGTAGCGCCGATATTTTCCTACAAATCTGATTGATTTTTTCCCCCACCAGTTTGATAATAAGACAGCAAATGAAATATATTGCTTTCAAAATCTAGCTTTCTTTCAATCTTCCCCTCTGCAAGGTAACCTCGATTTAACCCCTTAAGCCCAAGCTCTTTTGTAACAATAATAAGCTTGTAGCTCACTTACTCTGAGAATAACACACACTTATCATGTCCAGATCTTAATCTAAGACTACTATGTACTTCATTCTATCATCCACCAACCACACCTCCAACAACATGCCAAAAAGATCAGATACTCGGCTAAAATGCAATTTGTGACCCAATTTGTGTTTTGGTTAGCCTAGTTTCAACAACACATGCTGAATGATGCGTTGCTAATGAAAGCCAACAAGACACTGAATTGGCTGAAGTAAAACTCAATAGCAAAACTGATTATTTGCAGCTGAGCACTCAATATATTCCTTCCTAAACACCAGCAAAACCAAGTAAAGCACATAAAATCTGTCCTACCTTTGCTTTTTTTTTTCATCGAAAGATATTTTCATCCAAACAAAAGGCTATTTCTGGAATATATCCAACTGATGGCTCACTATCCTGCTAAAAGTTTCTTCTCTCTGTATTACGGTACAGCAGCATGGCCATATTTGAAAGCTGTCTGGGTGTAAATCTTAAAGACCTCTGCTTCTCTTTCGTTTGATTCCTTAGAGCTTCTGTCTATCTCAAATTGATGGTTATTGAGATATGCGTGTGTATCCTCATGCATTTGTTTTCTACTTAGCTTTGTGTATATAGTGTATAATTAGTGTTTAAATAAAGAATGCAGAAAAAAAATAGAATCATTTACTTCCACTTCATCCTCCAGGACCTTTATGTCAGTTGATAACACTATTGGCATTTCAGACAGTGTACAATTAGAGAAGTGCCTTATAAAATATGAGTATGCCGTTTTTGGAAAGTTGACCTGTAGGTCAGGGCAATAAAATTCAATCTGAAAATGCTTGTAAAATAATTGTGTTTCACAGCTAACAATAAAAATACAACAAACTAAATGTTTGCAGCTAGTAGTATCACACAGAGCGAATTTCAAAAGTATCAGTATACATTTAAGAACAAAAAGCGATGAACTGATATCCCTATGGGCTATGGGAGCCCAAGGAGTACATTACCTTAGAAAGATTAGATTTTTTTTCCAAAAATCTAATCTTCATAAAAAATGTTTAATAGTTTTTGATGAAATGAGTTCTGTGACTGTTTTTTTTTTTTTTTTTCATTGGACACGGGCCATCAACATACATAAAAATAAAAATATCCTAATTGAAATTCCCCAAATAATCATTTTTAATGTAGCAATGAACACCAAAGGATTAATAAGTGCTGTCCAATTCTACATAAAATAATTAATGTACTTCTGGACAGAAGAATCCCGTAACTTACACAGACACTGTTGATGTAGATAGTTTTTCAGAAAGATACTCAACCTCACAAACTGGACATTTATCAAGCATTGTCTGGGCATTCATCGGCATAATTAGTTTTATTTCTAAAAAAAAAAACATTATTAGTCCTTTAGTTAATCCAAAAGCACACAGATGATGTATTTTGCTATTCAGTTGGCCCCACTGTGGGTAAATATGTACCTCTATATGAAGAAAAAAATCACCAACACTAAAGATACTGATTGAGCTTCAGTGATCAGCATTCACTGGAGGCTCTTCTAAGGTATTATAAATATTATACATAAGGTATCATAAATACTTTAAAGGTATAAACTAAGAGAGCTGATGATGCCAAATCTCAGCAATGATTCAGGACAATTGTATACATTAGCTTAGCTGTTTTACAAAATGCTAAATAAATAACATTCACTTAAATGTGGAGTTAAAGTACATCCTGAGATACATGAAAAATTGCATTGAGTTCTCGTAAATTATTTAGATCTCCTTTTTAACAATTGCTCAAATTATGTCTCTGAATTTTACTCATGTAATCACCATTTCAATAGCTATAGTCAGTTTATTCAAATATGATAAATCAAGAAGATGCTGTAGCAGGATAGCTTTTCAGTTAAGTAAAGAAAAGAAAAAAAAGGACACCCTCTGTTAATTCTTATGGCCGATTTTATAAATGATCTTTACCAAAATTCTGATCTAAGGTAAAGTTAGACCTTTTCACGTTTGATTAAAGAAAGAATAAGATAAAAATGAAAATCTTTACAAAAAATCTAAGTGCGACCTAAACATTTTTGTATGTGTTTAAGGGTAAAACCTTAGAATTTAAAAATGGTATACCTTTCCTTTAGCAGTTAGCTGTGAAGATACATAGTACACAGGCGTTGTGATTTAAGATTGTTTTCTGGTTAGAGGCCTTAGAAACACATTATATAAGAAAAGTATTGAATATTAAAATTAATATAAAATTACAAATCAGTAATCTTCCAAGCATGAATAGAGATGAAAAGTTGGAATTAAGAGAGATGGAATTAAGAGCAAAATAACACAAATATAAACTACAAAAATATTTGCAAATATGCTTCTGGGAAAACAACTAAACTTATGTAAGGATGAAAATAAATCTTGCTTATTTTTTTTTAAGATGAGAATCTAAATGAACAAATGCAAGAAAAAATTAAGAAAAAAAGGAACCGTATTACCAACATCTGGGGGAGCTGGTGCCTTTCCCTGGATTGATACATTATCTGTGCAGACAATTGAAATTCAGAAATTAGAAGAAGTCAACATTTTCATAATTTGTTAATTCTTTTTGTGTGTTTAAGTGAAATACTTCTACTCCATGTTGTAGAATAAACTGAATGTATTGACAGAAATGAAACTCATGAATGAGTAGTTATTTCTGACTTGATTTCCAGATCATTTTATTTTGAATTCATAAATAAAACATATTCTCTTTTTCTCTAACAGCTGATGAGACCAGAGAAAAGCCAGAAACAGAGGTTGGGACAATATCACTTGTAAAACAGACGGTGGAACCGCCATTAAAGCAGCCGCCTCAGGAAAAAGGACCTCAAAGTGCTGATGTGTCTATTAAGGAAAAACACCCTAAAAATAGTGACCCAGAAAAAGAACCTGAAAGTACTGATGTGTCTAATCAGCCAACTGCTCCAGATGGTGTCTCAGCCCCTCCCACACTGGAAAAATCCAATCAAACTGCAGCAACACCAACTCCACTACCTTCAGCCATTCGAGTCCATGAGATGGGTGCACTAATCGTCAAAAAGACCACATATGTCATACCAAAGAAACAGCCTGCGTCTCAGTCTGCCTCTGGCCAGCCCTCCCAGAAAGTTTCTTCTGTTTCAACTCTGCTGAATGAAACCCGTAATCTTCTTGTCCCTCCGGCGCCCAGTGCTCCGTCCTCCCGACCCTCTCAGCCCAATAACCAGGTCCGTCAGAGCATCCAGCGCACCCTTACTAGCATCCTGTTCAAGAGGTGAGAGTGGTTTTTATAGTGTTCCTCCATCTTTGTGGTTTGAAAGAAAAAAGATTATCCGATATTTTAATCAGAAAACGAAGAAGGTTAATGCAATTTAGAATAACACTGTTTCATGTTGTTAAAGAGTCCACAAAAAATCTCCAGTAATGCTTTGGAAGACTATCTAGGACATGTACAGGTGCATCTCAAAAAATGTGGATATATTTAAAAATATATATATTTATTTTGATATTAAAAGTGCTGCTTAGTGGAGCAGTTGGTAGCTCTGCTGCCATTCAGCAAGAAGGATACTGCTTTGATTCCCGGCCCAGGGTCTTTCTGCATATAGTTTGCATGTTCTCCCTGTGAATGCGTGGTTTCTCTCCGGGTACACCGGCTTCCTCCAACAGTCCAAAAACATGACTGTTAGGTTAATTGGCTTCTCTAAATTCTGTGTGCGTGAATGGTTGTTTGTCCTGTTTGTCTCAGTGTTGCCCTGCGATAGACTGGCAACCTTTCCAGGGTGTACCCCGCCTCTCGCCCACTGATAGCTGGAGATAGGCACCAGCTTCCCTTGTGACCCCACTTGGGATAAGCGTGACGGAAATGGATGTATGGATGATATTAAAACTCAACAATCTTAATCTTGTGAATCTTCCTCGTCTCTTCTGTGGGATTTTCAAACTTCTGTTTTTCCATATTTGTTTTGCAGCTTGTCATTTCTATACTTTTTCCCTCCATCAAATTTTCCATAACTGTGTTTGGATACTGGCTTAAACCCTTAATGAAATAATCATTTAGTCATAGAACAGTTAAAAGTGAAAGAACAACCAATACAATGTTGTTAGTTTACAGCAGTGTTTTTGTTGTTTGTTTTTAATAGTGCTTCTGTGTTCTATATTTTCTTTTAATCAACATATAGATGCGTAAGGGACTTTCTGATGGTTAACTTAAGTCAATTTAAGGTTTTTTCATATGTTATGGTAAACTTTACCAGAAAATGTAGTGAACCTTGACCTAGCCAAGATAGTTCATCTTACTGCCCAGAGAATTTTCTGCTTTCCTATTTTCCAGGATTTTAATGCTAAAAATATCATCGTGTTGTGATTTATTTGGATCTGTCTTTTTTTTGTGTTCGTATAGGGTAAGTGATTGTGACGATCTGGAGATGCCTGAAAGCGAAGTTGTAAAACTTGTGGCTGGCATTGAGAAGGAAATGTTTGACATATTCCGCACTACGGACAGCAAATACATGAACAAGTATAGAACTATAATGTTTAACCTCAAAGACCCAAGGAATAAGGTTGGTTGACATGTTGATTAACTTTCATGCAATGTTAAAATATTTTTCTCCCCTCAATGTTAAAAATTTTCTCCCCCATTGCACATTGGAATTCCTTTTTTCTACTCTTGAAAGCCAATTTTTATCCCCCTTTCTGTTTCTCTATAGGGCTTGTTGTATCGTGTTGTAAATGGAGAAATTGGTCCATTCAGGCTTGTCAGAATGACCCAAAAGGATATGCAGGCTACTAAGGCCCCTGAGCCAACTACTAAGGAACCATCTCAGGTAAAGTATATAAGGAAAAAAAATATGGATTACATTTCAGCTTCATAAAACTATTTAATACTTTTTCTGAGGGGACAATATGCTTTGTCTGTTTTTCATCATGAAGCCTAGGATTGAAGCTGCTAAGGAGACAAATATGCCAAAGCCTGAAGCCGTGAAGATTGATTTGGCCAGTTTGAATCCTGCTAGAACAGAAAGAAAACCTGAGAGCATGGTTTGTGTTATTTTGATTGACCCTCTATCCTTTTGATGTTTATTATTCTTACTTTGAATTTTTACTAGCATTTATTTTCAATTCTTAGGAACAGAAGAAAATTCTGCCTTCTCAGCCCTCCAAGGCTAAAGGTATCCAACCAGGCAAAAACAAAAAGATGCCAGATATTTTGTCCTGCATGCTGAAGGATACAACAAAGGAACACAAAGCTCACCTCTTTGATCTGAAATGCAAAATATGCACAGGTACATTTTTTAATAGATTCAACCCCTACTAAACTGCAAAAATGATCTTAATATGAGTAAAATATCCTTGAGATAGGTGTATTTACGATAATTTACGTAGGCAAAAAGGATTATCTGCCAATGGAATGAGTATGTGTATAAGATGATTAGATATTATGCATTTGAAATAAGCAATAAATAAGCAATACATTTTTCTAATTTGAAATGTAAATTGTCTTGTTCCATGGGCAAAGTGTATCACTTACCCGCTCAATTTAGGAAAAAATGCACTTATTTTAAGGAAAATTGATTTGCTTAGATTTCATTTTTTTGCGGTGCATTCCATAACAGTCTGTGATCTTTAGTTTCTTCCTTCCTGGTTATCTTTAAGGTCTTTCCTGCCAGGTCTGAATTTGACCTGTACTGTTTTTCCCCTCTTAACATATAAAAGAAAAAAAAAAAAAGAAAAATTAGCGACAGGTTTTTGCAGCTCTTGCAGAACTGAAAAGCTCCTTCAGTGACAGACTGCTGCACCCTAAATGCACCAGGGAGCGTTATCACAGATCCTTCCCCCCAGCAGCTGTAAGACTTTATAACCTTCACTGTTCCCAACAACCTCAATAAGTTGTTAGATTCATGCTGATTTCGCACAAAAATAGTAAATTGATAAATGTTTTTGTTTCAAATCTTTTTAAATGCAGCCTTGGTTGTCTCGAGAGGGTCGGGTCCAAAGTATTCTAAACAATACTACATTACCTCATATCTGAATTAAAAATGTATGGAGCTATCTTAAAACATAAAGCGTTTTAAAAATGATTTGTTATTCATTCTTAAAGGCCAGATACAAAATGTAGAAGATGAAGAACCTGCTAAGAAAAAAGTGAAGGTATCTACATCAACGCATAAGACTGAGTCATCATGGAGGAAGCTTGGAGGGGATGAGTCTCCACTTTTTGCCCCACCTGACATGCCTGAAATTGATTCTCCTACATCTTCACCGATGGAGCCATCGCCTCATATTGATATTGATTCTCCAAAATTGACAATTGTAGAATCTCCTGCTTCTCCAGTGATGGAGTCTCCTACCTCCCCAACATTAGAGTCCCCTGCCTCCCCTATGATGGAGTCTCCTGCCTCTCCAACTGCAGAGGGTTCCACGTTACCTGCACCAAAGCGATCATATACACCAGTCGTGATTCCCACTGTCTCCACGGTTACCATTACCAGACGCGATCCTCGAACAGCAGCAAATAGGCTCACTGCTTCCTTAGGGGGTAACTCCAGCCTCAGTAACATCACCACCAAACAAACAGCTCCCTACAGTGCCATAAAAGGCCCCCCAACCAATAGTTCAACACAACCACCTTCAATACCACCACCAAAAGCTCTTCCCAAATCAATATTGATGAAGCCATCCTCCTCTACTGACCCAAGACTGTATGGTGCCTCCTCCAGGTAATTAAAACGTGTACATTTTGTTTTAATGTTTTTTTTTCTTGTTGAGAAGAGATATGGGTTTGTACATTTTATTTTACAATTGTTTTTTGCTTCAGAACCGCAGTCCCTCAAACCCCAGCAGATGGTGATACTGCTCCTTTCCTAGCTAAGCAGGGCATACTGTGGAAAGGCTTCCTCAACATGCTCACTGTGGCTAAGTTTATGACCAAAGGATACCTGGTTTCAGGACCTGCTGAAAATCTTAAAGCGGTAAAGAAATTACATATTGGGCCCAATGTTACCTGAGTTTACCGATAACATATGGCTGTGACAGAGAAAATAATTCAAAAACATTGTTCTTATGTGTTTTGTAGGATTTGCCAGATACCATACAAATTGGAGGACGAATCTTACCCGAAACTGTGTGGGACTATGTTGAAAAGCTAAAGACCTCAGTTACAAAGGCATGCAAGATGTTTATATATTAACATCTGCATTTTGCAAGATATAGTTAAGGATGTAGTATTATTTTTTTTTCTAATTATCCTTCTCTTGGCTTTGGTTTCTCTTAGGAGTTGTGTGTGATCCGTTTTCACCCTGCAACAGAGGAGGAAGAGGTGGCCTATGTGTCCCTCTTTTCCTACTTCAGCAGCAGAGGACGCTTTGGAGTGGTCGCCAACATTAGCCGTTCCATCAAAGATGTGTATCTAGTCCCGCTTGGAGCAAATGAATCAATCCCATCCATACTACAGCCATTTGAAGGTCCAGGTACAAATACTGAGCTGTGGCCTATGTGTCTTTTCTTGATTGTTTAACTTCACCCTAATTTAAAAAAAAATTTAAATTTTTTATTTAATGCAACTAGAACTGCACTTACTAGAAATGCACTGATCTAAATTTTCCTGTTCAATTACAATATTGTTGTTTTCTTTGCTGGTTCCATTTTGATATCTACTTATTTTTCTGTCTACATAACATAGGAAAGAGAAAACAAATGTGCTAAAGAATCACTGACTATGTTAATGTTAAAACTAACTGAAAATTAAGCAGTTACATGATCATCTCTAATTTTCATAACCTTACTTTATTAGTAATAATGGATTTTATTTTCCTTTTTAAGTTAGAAAATGGCAGTTCTTAGTTTTTTTGTAAGAGGAAAATCAAGCGATTTTTTTAGTAGCCCAGACTGGCCAATAGAGGGAAAAAATTGACCAGTCATAGTTTTCTTTCTAATATCAACTCATATATTTACATTGTCATTTGCTGAGGAAACAACGTGTTTAAGCGAGCTAAATTTTCCTTAAAGGTAGACATTTTTTGCATTAACATTATGAGCAAATTATGAATATTTTTTATATGTTACTACAGTCAATGCATTAAACATAAATAACAAATATACCTTGCAGTATGGTTCTATAATTTCAGAGACTTGTCTGAAAGGTCAAAGCTTTCTTGGTTATTAAGTTACTGTTTTCTGATATTTATTGTCCAGCATTTCTGACCAACATTTTAGCTATGTGTTTTCAAGATTTCTTTACTTGTATATAAAATATTGAATATCTTATTTTTAATTGTTTCTTTTTCAGGCCTTGAAAAGAACCGACCAAATCTTATTTTGGGTCTAGCAATTACCCAGAAATTAAAACGTCCAGCAAGCTTACCTCAGGAAGTTGAAGAGAAGAAACTCAAAGTGAACATATCCAAAGACCCTATGTGGATCCCAAAACCACCAGTCCTCTATGGTTCAGATACGTTTGACATATCCAAACCATATGATCCAGAGATGGCTGGTAGTTACTCCCCTCCTGGTTCTCCAACTTGCATTGAATCACCATCAGACTTGTCCTCATCTGGCTCAGTTCCCAAACCTCCCGTCCTTGGTTCAATCAAAGAAAATCCTTCTGTTTCAGCCATTGCTGCTACTGAGTCCCCAGCTGTAAATGACTCAGGCAAGAGTATCCCACCATCCAACAGCAATAAGACCCCATTACAGACTATTTTGAAGACATTGTTTAAGGGAAAGGAGTCTGACCCAATAGTCTCCTCTGATGGAAATTCCCCCAAAACAGATGGAAATGCTAAGAAAAAACAAGTCTTCTCTAAAGTTTCTGGATCTATGGTTGATCCAATAGTCCAGCAATATGGACAAAAATCAAAAGTCAAAAAGGTAGAAGAAGAGAAGGAGGAAGACTTTGACAGACCATATGACCCTGAAGAGGAATATGATGCTGCAAAAGGATACATTTTTACTCAAAAAATCCCAGATAATAATAATACAGATGACTCTGAATTAATTGGCTCAGTGGAAGATGATGTGGCTTATGATCCAGAAGATGAAACTATCTTTGAAGTATTTCAGGGTGATGCTGCTGTAACAAAGCTTTCCTCTCCAAACCAAAGCGCAGATATTCAAATTTCAGAATCTCAAACACCCATTTCAGATTCTACTCCAACAACACTAAAGTCTAACCCAACTTCAGTATTGTCGACCCTTCCCACAGGCACTGTAGTTGTCTCAGCTGCAACTCTGAGTGAACAGCAGCGGATGCTGGAGGAACTTAACAGGCAAATTGAAGAGCAAAAGCGACAGTTAAAAGAACAGGAAGAGGTGTTACGACAACAGAGAGAGGCTGTGGGAATGTTTATGGCTCACTTTTCTGTTTCTGATACTTTAATGTCTCCTCCCACAAAAGCACTTCCACACAGCCAGCTGCCAACTGGGCAGTGTGGTGAAAGACTAACAGTTTCAAAGCCTGCAGATAAACCCAACAAAGTTACCAACAATGCAGAGATAAAGGATACCTCAGCTGTGAAGTCAGAAACCGTTAGACTTGAACACACAACAGTCAGTGATACTTTAAAAGATACCACAAACACTCTGACAGAGCAAATAGGAACAAATGACAATGTAAAAGACTGTGAGAAATATTCCTCTGCTGGAGAGATTGAGGACTCTGATGTAGCTTATGACCCTGAGGATGAGTCACTTTTTGATGAAATCCAGGATGATGTTTTTAAAGGAGGAAGTACAAAGACTAGTAACACTTCATTGAAGACTAGGGATAGCTATGGGAACAGAAGCGCCTCTCCAAATTCGCACCCCAGCAGAAGGCGAAGGTCATCACCTAAAAGACGAAGTCGTAGAGAAATGGACCATAGAAGCCCTTCAAGAAGGTCACAGGGGCGTTCTCACTCACATTCTAGGAGACATAGGGACAAGGATAGACACAGAAAAAGTGAAAGAGATAGGTCTAGGCATAGAACTAGAGATCCATCTGAATATTCAGGACACCATCGAAAAGCCCGTGCTTCTAGCAGACATTCTCATAGGCGGGGAAGGTCCTCATCTTCCCCAAGAAGAAAACAATCAGCCTCCCTTTCGCCAATACGCCACAGAGTACAACCTTCACAGGTCACTGATAAGACAAAAAATAAAAGTGCTCCAAACAATCCTGAACCCGTAAAGACATCTTTAGCATCACCATCAATGCCATCAACCATTGGAATTAAAAGTGACCCAGATGAACATAAGTCAGAGTGTAAACTTCTTGAGAATCCTGTTAAAGACTCAGCTGAACTTATTCAAAATGTGAAGACTGAGCTTTCCGAACCATCAATCAGTCAATATGAAATACAAACAAGCAGCTTTTCCAGCCAGGAAAACAGACCATCTCTGCAAGAGACATGGTTTCAAGACAAATTTGAAAGCAAAATTCCTCTGAGAGAAATTGATCCACCTCTGCGAGATTCTCCTGAAAGCCCTGATCCAGAACCACAGTTTTCAAAACCTTCCAGCACTGAAAATGTGGATTTTCAAAAGACTGATTTACCATCAGGACTAAATATTCAGGGCTCAGTCACAGAAGGGGATGACACGAAGGACTGTGAAAACGGCATGATCCAAACAGATCTAAAGGAACAAGGAATTGGTGTTATCGGGCCTGATATGCAATATGTAATGACAAATGTTTTGGGCCCTAAGCGAAGCTTAGATGACCATGGGACACCTATGATGGGACAGGCAGCATGTCTTCAGGGTCCAGTGCTAAGTTTAATAAAGAATCCTAACCCCAATATAAACGATACACAGGCTACCACTGGAGACTCAGAAAGAAGAAAACAAGTCCAAGGAGCAGCAAACCTCCATGTTGCATCAGGGATAGAAAAATCAAGCATTAGAATGGAGACCCCAGATCAGTTGTTTAAAAAACAGCTGTCGGACAAAGCTCTGCCTGGGTCCAGGGATTCTGTTTCTACAATGCCACATCATAATCCAAGTATAACTGGGGACTTTAGTCAGGCACAGCAAAATATCAATTATAACAGGGAAGCTTTGCCTTTTTTGAAAACCGGTGAGTTAAGATCCAACATAAATATCTATGACAGCAAGTCAGGCATCATGAAAATAGAGACAGCATTCGGAGGTGAAAGGTTTGAAGGTGGAATTTCACATAGTAGGAATTTAGGTTCTCACATTGCAGTAGGTGATAAAGCAGGCCAAAGTGCTTCACTCATTGGATTTAGAGGAGATATGACACATTTAAAACATACTGAAAGTGTGACCTTTAAGGGACGGGGACTTGGGGAAAGAGAATCTCAGACTTTTAGGGGAGATGCAAACTTAACTGATTTTCAGGAAAATAGAGACAGCCCAGATCCCAACTGGAGAGGCCAACTGTCATTTCAGACTAGTGAAGATAAAGGCCTTGGTCCAGCTGATAGACATCTTGGTTCAGATGCCCCAAAGTCAGATGCTGGGGATGCTCACAAAGGAGCAGTTCGAGAAGTAATAGATTCAGTCAGGGCAGGGCCATTTACACAAGATGATTGGACTACTCATCAGTTTGGTAAAATGGGGTCAAACATGGAGAGTCAGGGTCCTCAAAAAGTAGGTGATCAAAGCTTTCATTCACAAAGAAATAAAGAAGTTAGTCCCAACAGAAAAACCTTTGAGCATGATTTTAGGGTGCCCAGGGGCTCAGATTTTATGGGAGCTAGAACAGAAGTAAGAAATCCTGAATTGCATTTCACAAGGAATGATGTGAGACATCCTGTGTGTTCAGATATGATGGACCAGGCCCCTGAAAAGAAAGACTCTGAATTTGAAGTGACAATGCTGGACAGGAGAGAACAATCGTGTCCAGATGTGGAGAGGCTGGGACCTAAATTTATGGGTCCTCAAAGTGATATCCCTGAGCCTAAACGTAGTGGGCCAGGGTGTCCAGATTTCATGGGACAAAGACTTAATAAAAGAATGTGGCCTGAAAGGACAGGACCAGATATATTGGGTCCAGGGATTGATAGAAGGGTTCCCAATATGGGAGGTCCTGTTAATGCCTGGAGAGGAAGAGGAGGTCCAATATTAAGATTAAGTGGACCTGAAAAAAGAGACTTATCTATGGAAGTTGCTGAACACCACAGTAGAGGTCAAGACAACCCAGAATTTAGACAACCAGGGCACACTAAAGGAAGTCCTGCTATGGAAAATACTGGTTCTCAGAGTAGAGCAAGCGGGGGACCATTTTTTCCAGGACAAGGTCCAGAAAGCAGATGCTCATCTATTCAAGGACCTGTACCAGACAGAAGAGGCCCCAGTTTGGATTGCCAAAATTCTGACTGGGAAGGCTCAATGGGACATGAAAATTGTGGACCGGGGTCTGAAAGAAAGGGAACATATTTGGGGGCTGCTGAGCCTCTCCGCATAGAAGAAGGGAAAGAAAGAAATATCAGAGGTAGAGGAAGAGGTAGAATAGGGCCTCAAGCATATGGCGAGGACTGGCATATTAGGGACTCTTGGCCAGAAAGAGCAGCTCCAAACATAAAACAAGAAAATAGCAGGAGCCCTCCAAGAGGCTCGTCGTTTAGGTGTCCTGAGCAAGAAAGAACCACTTCAGAAATGGGAGGTCTGCAGCCTGATAGGAATATGTCACACCTTGAAGAGCGTAACAGAATAGATATGGGAGGTGTACCAACTTGTGGAATGGGTCAAAAATTTTATAGGAGACCAGATCATGAAAGAAGAGTTGCAGATTATGGGGGCCAAGTCCCTGACAGACAAAATCCAAGGGGCACAAACTTTAGAAAACCTGTGCCTGCAAAGCCATATTCAGGTATTGAAGACCAGAAACCTAACTGGAGAGAATCAAGTGGCCCTGATTTTGAAGGTCCTCGGCAGGAAGAAGTGAATACAGAGGGTCTTGGATATGAAAGAGAAAATGAGTGGGTCGAGTCTGAACCAATTCAAGATTTTCATGATTATGAGATCTCAGATAATGATAGAAGAGGTAGAAGCTTTAGACCTCCAAGACTAATGAGAAGGAATGTCCGAAGACCAGGACCAAATTCTCGTGGCACTGGACCTAACTGGAGGGGTGGTGCCTTTGAAGGGAAAAGGTCAGATAGAAGAGGGCCGGGGTTTGAGGACTGGGGAAGAGGAGGATCTTCTGGGGATATTTGGGACAACAGTGAAGATAGGAGTTTTGCGAATTTCCAAGATGGTTCTGATGAACAGGTTGAAGAGTCCCATAGGCAAGATGATTATACTGAATGGGAAGATGCACAGGATTCAGAAAATGTGCAGTTTCCTGTTTCTGGAGATGACTGGGATGGTCCTGCATTTAGCGCTCCAGGGTCAGCTCAAGACAACACAGATCTAGACTATCCTGGCCCTAATGGAGAAGGCGAAGGACATGAATGGACAGAGCCTGATGGAGAAGGTTCTGGGGTATTTTTCAGAGGTAGAGGGAGTACATGTAATAGAAGACAAAACTGGGGTAGGGTCAGAGGAAGAGGACGAGGATCAGCTATGCAGAGACATGAAAACATGGAGGATGACTGGAGGCACCAGGACTTTAAGGGAAATATGAGGGGCCATGATGTTGGCATACCCAGGACTCCAAGGGGAGGTTTCAATTTAAGAAGATCACACCCAAACAGGAGACCATTCAAGAGGGGGGGTCCAAATTTAAGATGCCCAAAACCAGGCTACAGAAATTTTAATGAGTTTCCTGAGTCTGATGGGAGAGCTTTAGATTTTGGAGAACAGGCAACTGAAAGGCATGGTGTAGATGGGGATCATCTAAGGACAGATTACCAAGGATTTGAACATGAATTTAAAAGAGTAAGGAGAGGTCCAGTGATGAGACAACAAGGTCCCGGCAATACAGAAATAACGGGGATGTCACCTAATAATATGGGTCCAAGAGAAGATAGAAGGGATACAAACTCTGAGAGAGGTCCAGGTTGGAGGGAACAAGAACAAAGGCATCGAGGTCAGCCCACTAGCAGAGAGGGAAGGGGTCCTCATCAACAGAACACTGACACTCACGAAGGACCTCCAGCTCCATTTAAAAGGCCTCCAGGACCCTTTACAACAAGAGGCGGAAAATCAATCCGTGATTTTGATACTCCACAACAACAGGCCGCGCAACCTCAAAGACACAGAGGTGCTTTACTTCCCACCCCTTCAGAATGCCCATTACCTCAGCCAAATACCATGATGAAGAGTCGTGATGACTCCACAGACAAAACACCACAGTTTGGTCCCCCGTTCGGTAGGAACAGGGGAATAGGTAGAGGTAGAGCAGTGGATAATCGTTTCAGAGGGCGTGGAAGAGGACGAGGTGGTCCTGCATGGTAAATTAATGGAGAGTGTGAAGAAGAAATTGTTTAATTACTCAAACAGGTTTATCATGGAAATAAAAAAAATAAAAAAAAAAGATTGGATTGCAGATTTGAACTGAAAGAAATATTGAAACTAGAAAAAAAAATCAAATATTTACTGAAAAGGACACAATGGCTGAATAATATTTCAATATGGCTCCTCTGAAACATATTGTTTAGTAAAGTGTAGATTTAATTTCCATTACAAGTTGACTCACAGACAGACATGGGTGAAATCTGTAATGGTTAATTGATATTTTGTGCTCCGTTTGTTAATTTAGTTATAGTAAAGATTATGAGTTAAACCTTGTAAATTTTGTTGTAAATTATGCCATCTGTTTTCTAGAAACGTTTGAAAGGCTATGTAGATATAGTTTTTTTTTATTATTTACAAAACCATAGCATCACTGTTACTTTATCTTATTTGTATGTTTTTGGTTTGACATCAAAATGTAACTTGTTTCAGTGTTCTTTTAGAATACCTCAATTCAATAAAGTGACATTTTAAAAACTAGAAATTTTCTAATGTTTTTTTGTTGAATAACTGCATTAGAGTATGCTCTATCTATATATATATCTATATCTATAGATATAGATATATATAGATATATCTATAGATATAGATATATATATATCTATAGATATATTAGGGGTGGAACGGTTCACAAAATCCATGGTTTGGTTCGGTTCACGGTTTCGTGGTCATGGTTTTCGGTTCGGTATATGTTGATTGTTACACCGAAATCCCATAAAAATTAATGAAAAAATCCACAAAAAATTTATGAATTGTAATTAATTTTAATGATCCGCAGAAACCCTGGATCATTTCCGCATGTTTTGCTGCTTTGAATTTAATCATCTCGTGCATGCCCTCTACGATCTCCAAGGAACTCAGAGCGGGGGGGGGACGGGAGCCACAGTGGAGGCTGTATGCTTTGCTTTGTGCAGGCGGTCTGGAGCGCAGCGGGGCGGAGCGGAGTATGTGGGATTTCGGGGTTAGCATGACATGTTGGTCATGTTGCTGTTAGCATAACCAAAACGTGTTGCACAATGCTTGCACACTGTTGCACTTTTATCCACAACTTTCTTTCCGCCGTCATCGTAGGTCACTCTAAATGCAAAGTGGTCCCATACAGCAGACCAATAAAGTGCTGCTGGTGCGTCTTCCAACTCCTGTTCTTTCCCACTCGCCATACCCACACAATTCTCCACAACAACTGATTTTTTTCTGCTACACCCGGCTACGCTGCTTCGCTTCTTCTTCTTGTTTATTACTGGTGGTTGGCTTTGGTCGTAGTACCGCCACCTTCTGCTCTGGAGTGTAAACGCTTCGCCTATGAGAAAAAGGAGCAGTGCATGAACCAAACGCAACACACGCGAACCGAACCGAGACAGACTTCCCTCTCTGCAGACACCTCCAGCTCTGCTGGGGGAAGCACGAGGTGCTCCCAGACCAGCTGAAAGACATAGTCCCTTCATTGTGTCCTGGGCCTCCTCCTGGTGGGACATACATGCCTTTAACACTTCCCATAGGATGCAGCCGAAAAAGATGTCAGAGCCACCTTAGCTGTCTCCTCGATGTGGAGGAGAAGCGGCTCTACTCCAAGCCTCTCCCGTTGAGCTCCTAACCCTATCTCTAAGGGAGGACCAACCCTGCGGAAAAAGCTGATTTCAGCTGCTTGTATTCTGGATCTCGTTCTTTTGGTCATGGTCCAAACTTTGTGACCGTAGGTCAATGATTCCTACCCAGGGGTACACGTACCCCTAGTGGTCCGTGAGTGCATTGCAAGGGGTACATTAAAATATATTAGTTGTCGGTTAATAAAATAAAATAGTTTCTGTTCTGCTTTGTAAGAACCCACCTGTCTGTCTCCGCTCCCCTTACAGCCAATCCCCCTGATTTAGTCAGATTTTTTCATAGTTTTGTGCATTAAAAAAATGACTATCGATCACATCTTATTAAAGGGTGATCAGAATTTTTTTCCCCCGGAAACTTTATATTTATGGGGAGAGGATTCTACAACTCAGTTGATAGGGTACTTTAGGTTCCGATTAGGCCTGTTGGCATGGCGACTCGTCGATTCAAGGATGATGATGATGATTTTTTAAACCTATCACGCTTTTTTTTCTTTAACAGTGTCCTGTCTGGCGATCCTGCAATAAGATTAATTGTCTTGATGCCAAAAAGAGCCCAACAGATTTTACTTTCACAAGTGGAGCAGTACGACTATCCCCATAGTGTTCCGCTTGATTGATGCATATAAATTGCTTTATTATAATTATGCAGGGAATTTTACAGATTAAAAGGAGAACAGATGAAAGAAAGAGGAGATAAAAGGGAGATAACCATAAAACATCTTCAGTCTGCTTCATCGTTGTTGAAATAATTCATAGCACCTGTTGTGAAACCGAAAAGTCAGAGCTCCCGACTTTAGGCTAAATCAAGTTAGAGTTGCGGATTTAAATTTGTTAAACCTGCTTCATGAAATGGACCCCAGGTGTCATAACTGATGAAAACAATGTAAAATAAATGAAATCAGTGTGACTGTAAGTTTTTTCTTCTGTATTTTGTTCCCAAATCCTCAACTTTAAATTTGATTATAAGGAAGTTACTCAGAGGAGCTCCAGTTTTATAAAGGCAGATTTATAGATTTTATTTTGTCTTTATTTTTATCCTTCCGGGCAAGGTATTTATGTTTTATAT